CCCTAGGAAAAAATTCTAAAAATTTCAAAACTATATTTTAGCCATGTTTGGAATGAGGAAAGTTGCTTCTGGGTTCGCTGATTACAAAAAGGTACTTTGTTTCCTCATCGGATACGATTTGGCAGAGCTATGGCCTTTGGAACGAACAAAAATGGCGAAAGTAGGAAAACCCACCATTTTGTAGGGGTACCCCTAGGAAAAAATTTGAAAACTCTTTTGTAGCAATGTTTTAATTGAGGAAAGTCGCTTCTGGGTTCGCTGATTACAAAATTAGGTAAACCTACTATTTATTGGGGTAGAAATGTTCTTTAGTAGTAAAGCATAAGCCGCAACACTGCAATAACAGTTAGAAGTAACTCTCTTAGTTTATTACTCATGCGCCATGTATTTTGTTTTATGCATATAAAATTAAATATTTGTTATATCCTTATAATGACTTAAAAACATCAATTACACTTCCAATTTGGGCCTCAAGTTAAAACCATTTCTAAGCCGCTAGTCACGTTACGTATACGCCGTATACGTCAGCCTGTTTTAATTACACAAACACCCCAACAGAAGAGCCTGCCTCGTCTGGGCGCGTAATTATGCATATAATTAATATGCATGTACTTATTTAATATTAACCGAATTGCTGCCAGTTCGAGCGTGTCACCAGCAGAGAAAGAAACAGAAGGAGCAGAAATCGAGTCCTGCTCCCATGGCAACAATAAATTGTGTTCAATTTGTGTAATTAGTGTAAGAAGCTTTAGCCGGCAAAGGTGAAAGGACGTGTGTTGTAGTATATGTATGTATTTGTGTGGATTAGGGGCAGGACCAATTTACACACACAAATTGTTTTCCAGCTTAGAGAGAGAGCAATTTGAAAATTGCATTGCCCAAGTGGGCTAAGAAGGAGGCTGTGCGGTTCGCCTCATTCATTTCTCTAGTTAGTCCGCCCCATTTGGTATGCCTGGGACCTTCTAATAAGGTGAACTGCAGTCTATGAGCTGTGGTATTTGCCATGGAAAATGAGCACGTTGCAATTTGCCAACTATAAATTTTCTGAGAATCTGAGCTTAACGCAAATTGGTTTTCGCTTTAGTGTCTAATAGAGGGTGTACGTAGAAAGTGTTGTTTTCAACTTAATTAAAGCTTAGTGAAAGTTGTTCACTATAAGTGGACAAAATGGGTAATATGATACACAGTTTTACCGGCTTAACAGCCGTGAAATTTGTTTACAAATAACTTTTAATGATATGAAATAGAGAAACTAACTTTAGCAAGGAAAAACATACAACATTTAAAAGTTTAGGACAATTAATTATACTTTATTTTTTGTTCTGAATCAAGTGTTTCTATTAAATTATTTCTGAAAATGCGTTAGTTTTAATTAATTATTAATTGATTAAATTCAATTGCTCCATAAATGCCTTTTTGTATTAAAAATGTGAAAACTTCTGATTAAAAAGCTCTTAGAATGGAAAGGCGAAATCCTCATTTAATTGCATATTTTATTTTCAATTAGTTTTCTATTTATTAAGCCGTTTAATTTGAGTTCAACAGATACGTGTTTGCTAATTGAAATAAATACAATTTAAATTAATTTAATGAAACCATTTTATCCGCTTGCATTTATTCGTCAAACTTCTCCCATAAAACATCATCAATCACGGAAAGTTTTGTTGTTCTTGGCTAAATAGCTGAGTGAGTTTGGATCCAGTTCAACTTCTGAGATAACTAATCTGCGTTCCGTATCACATCACTCACTTAGGAACCATCCATTTACGGTAGAGCTATTAGATTCCTGCCAATCGAGTAAAACTTTTGTTTGGCAAACTTTTATGTTGGGCGATTTTTCTTAGCCTTTTGCAGTATTCTGTGTATCCCACGCACAACAATATTTTATGACCTTAAAGTTATTCCAATTAAAATGCACATCTTTTGAATATTCCTTCGTGGGCATCAAATTTGATTACGGGCTAAACTTTTCATTGGATCAGTTTTGAGAATTTCTTGCACGTACTGTGAACAAACTCAATTACACGTTCAAAGAGCAATTTCTGAAAGACCCCCTTTTCCGTTCAACAAAGGTGGCAAACAAATAATACAAGTTTTGTCCCCATTCTTTGTTTGTGTGCCTTGTATTTTGTATTGAGTGCCTGTTTTGCACTGAAAATATTAATATAGGTATTTCTTTTTTGTACCATCAGAAAAATAATTGACCATTTTTGAACTATTCTAAGAGAAGAAGTATCGCAGGTTATTAGTTTCCATTTTTTGAAGTGTAAATGCATCTGTTAGGTTTGAATTCAAAGCAAGCAAACCGCAGTCTAAGTTAGACCATATGTTGGATACAGATACACACAACCGGCCTTATAAGAAACAAACTTGAAATGGGACGACGAAGGATACCAGAAGAATAGAAGCAGGACCCGGATGACTAGAATGATGGCTTTCATGTCAGGTCCCAATAGGATCCCTTACTGGCTCTGACCTCCTGGAAAGCCAAGTGATGACCGAAAATAGCAGTAAAATTGTCGCCTCTGTTTCCCTGCTTTTGTCTGTCATTGTGGGAGTGTGTATGTGCATGTGTTTATAAGTGTTTGTATGTGTTTCAGTGTGTGTGTGGTGTACGCCACATCCTGTTTCCCAGGCATGGCGTGTGCGCACGAGTGCCATTGTCTAAATTATTTGGATGGCGTACATTTTCCGTTGAATTTGCGTGCCCTGCACCGAGTGCCTGCCATGACCATGGACCCTTCTTCGCACCTCCACCACTTGGCATTTCCAAAGTGGCAGGAGCAATGGAGATGGAGCTGGTATCCTGATGGGCTTCTCGGCCCTCAACGCCCGAAAAACAATACATCAATTTGTTCGTATGCACGTGGCTTGGGTGTTTGTCATGGCAAGTGATTTCTCATGATTGGCCTAATTGTCAGTCAGGTCAGAAACACTCACTCACACTCACTGAAAAACCGTTCCGATCCAGAATTTTCCCCAGCTTTTTAAGTAACTTTTCACACATATTTACTTTGCCAATTTCTGCCGAAAAGTGAGCTATAAAAAATTATTTCCTTAAGTTCCTAATTAATGCACATAATTTCTGTGATTTAAGTAAGTCCACGAATTTATAAAAGAACCTAAGATTGAATAATATATCATTACAATTTGCAGCTTGCATGTCAAAGTTTCACAAAAAATTTTATAAAACTTTAAAACTCGGCTGAAACTTTCACTTTCCCAACACTGCGTATGAGTAATGTAGTCCAAATAAAGTTCACCCTAGTGCTCACATTTTCTTTATTTGTGAGTGCGAGCTGTGTTACAGGTACTGTATGTACACACTCTTAATTGATGTGCTAATGGATGCTTTGTTTTTAAATGGCTTTTATTTTTACTGAGTCAACGCCATTTAATTGGAAAAAAGGCTGTAAAAACATTCGTGTCATCTTAGTACACACTTGATCGGATTCCGAGAATATTTGCAGAGCGAAAAGGTAATAAAATAGAATCTACGCAGCTTTATTTTCATTCAGTTTCGGATCCAAGGATTTTGAATGAAGAAAAGTTTCCACCTTACGAAATATCTTGAGAAATAAACGGATATTACTCTTCTTTGGAATAAACTTTATAAGTTTCAGCTGAAAGTAGTTCGGCAAACAAATGGCAAACGTTCATCCTTTCACATTTTTTTACTGACTTGTATTGATTTTCTGTTTACTGTATTCGAATTTATTCCTGGTGTCATTATTCTCTGGCAGCTTTCAAGGTAAACTCTTTAATTAACCCATCACATTCTTGTTATTTCGGTACAAAATATTATGATCCATTGGGGATTTGTGAAGTTTGTGTACCGGCTTACCTGTAATTAGACTGGGGAAAACTTTCCGTCCAAGACGTTTATGGAGTGCCCATGTGTGGCCCACAATTTCCCATTAACCACAAGTTTCAGCTTCACTCGTTTCGCATCACTCCGGTTTTTTCCAAAGCGGCAGGAGGTTGCAAGAAAATCGACGTATTTGATGTCTTAACTGGCTTTTGCTTGAGCTCTACGTGGAAAATAAAAAGAGTTTCCTGCACAGTGCACACCGAAAAGCTCTTTATAAATGGAAATGATGCTCAAGTTTTATTTAATGCCAGACGTGTTATACTTTAAATGGAAACCTGAGTGGGGTGGCTCTAATAAAAGAATTAAGGCGAATGTTTTATAATTGAAAGCTATTTTATGGCTTCGCAATACAAAAGCTTGTTTAAGATTATATTTTTATGGTCGGAGGGAAAGTAAAAAATTGTGTTTTAATGCAAATTTTCAAGGGGAGAATCAGATGCGCAAGCAGTTTTTATTATCCTAAAATGCATCATTTTTGAATGCTCAGACATGCTTCAAAGTCTTTAAGAAAACATCCAACTAGGCTTAAAAGCTAAGTAAGCTTGAAGTTAATGTTAATACATGAAAACTCTCGTTTCAGTTTAAATAGCTTTAAAATTGTTGGGGAAATTCTTATGGAGGTAATGGGAAACCAAACATCACCGAAAAGTTTTTTATTTCAAAGTTAAATTGGAGATTATTTGAAAGTGTAATAAAAAACCATTTGTAATGAGCAGAAAAACAATTCCAAGACGACCCAACGAAGACCCCCTAAGCACTTTCCAAAGTCCCATTTGATAATAAAACCGTAAAATTCAATCGCTAAATCATAATATGCAAATGATGGTCTGTGAAAACAAGGCTTAAATACTTTAAATGAGTTTAAAGGCCAGGACCGTGGCTTCATCGGCATAGTTGATGGATGGTGACTGGGTTGCTTGAACTTGACTCTGAACTGTGAGAAATAGAGTGCTGATGGAAGTGTAAAAAGGCCTGCCAAGCAGTAAAACGGTGAACATAAAACACTCACTCCTGGTGCTCATAAAAAAAAGGGAAAAAGGGTGCCCGCCCTCACCTGACTGACTGGCTGGCTGCAGAGTTCTACGCGGGTCTATAATTGATTTATATTGGCCATATGCCCAGGACTTACCACTGGCGGGCTTTGTTGTCTGCCAACTGCCATTAAATAGCTAATTAAGATTTCAGTTTGCTGGCAGTCGTCCAGCAGTTGGCCGCAAATCTCACGCCTTTCAAATCCTTTCACTCTTTTTTTTCGTTGGTCCTTTCGGATAAGACTCCAGGACGTCAGGCGACACAAAAGCGCGCGAAATTACACAAACAATCGGGGCAAACAGGACAAACCGCACGCACACGCACACAGGCCCAAAATACGGAGTACCCGACTCCTATTGGTCAGAGAAAATATGGCGCCAAACGATTCGAGAATATCGTCTTTTTGAGCCTCCTTTCCAGGACTTAACACATCTGGTCCATCTGACGGTTTTGGTTCAACTGATGAATGAACCGCGCAAAGGATGCTAGTCGGCGAGGATGCGGAAAGTTCCCAGCATGCCGTGGTCCAACCGTAGAGCTTTACTACGATTTGAGCTTTTCCCCCACCTACGAGTTCCGGACAAAAGCCAAATACTTTTTCAGGAGGAGTATATCGAATACGTGAATACTCTTAATAGGAAAAATTTGTATAAAAAATATAATAAATATTTTATGTTCTTAATTGTTGATAAAATATAGATAATGAATATAATACATGAGGAAAGCTATATAAGTTTTTGCCCTGTTAATACTCTTTTTTTCTGTTAGAAATTTTCCACAAATACCGATCGTGTTTTCAATATTTTTCGATCAGAAACTTTACCCATCTTGGCTCTATGCTTTGGCATCTTAAATATATATCAACAAATTGAAAACCTTTTAACGCTTTTACGTTTTTAACGTTTAATTTATTTTCGAAAGAAAACCGATGGAAAAGTACAAGATAATGGCATTAAATCCTCAGACCGCTTTCAGGAGAGAAGCATGGTAGGCGATGTGTTCTGCAATAAATGTGGCGATGTAAAAGTAGCTGTGATCGTATCCCTCGCGGAGCTTGTATATTGTCTGGATGTGATCGTTGCCTTCTGCTGCTGAAAGAAGGTTTTCCGGTAGCAAATTACTAAGGAAGTTATCCTTTGATCCCTGGTCAATAAAAAGTTCCTGCGGAGTGCTCTCGTACTGAGACACCAAGCTCGTGGCGTCCCACTGTGCCCAGTCGGCGGAGTTGGGGCTGATGTAGCCGGTAAGGGCTTTTTCACCCCAAGCGCTCTTTGTAGGATTGGTGATCGGAGCAAAGGCAGAAACTGACTGGTAAAGTCCGGGATTCTTCAGGGCACAAATCAACGCACCATGCCCGCCCATGCTGTGGCCAAAGATGCCTCGTTTTCCCGGGACTACTGGCAGATTCGCGTTAACCACATCAACCAGTTCTTGGGTCACATAGCTGTACATTTTGTAGTGCTTCGCCCATGGTTCCAGCTTGGCATCCACGTAGAACCCGGCACCACTACCGAAATCGTAGGAATCGTCCTCACCGGCAATGTTCACACCTCGCGGCGAGGTGTCGGGATTCACGACGATCAGATTATGTTGGGCGGCGTGCTTCTGAAAGCCACTTTTCTGGATGAAGTTTTCATGAGTACAAGTCAACCCGCTCAGGAAGAACAGCACCGGACAAGGATTATTTTCCTCCAGGGCAGCAGGTGGCAAGAAGACACCAAAGGTCATCTCACAATCGAGAGTGGCGGATTTGTGGCGATAGACTCGCTGCTCGCCTTCAAAGCACTTGGATGAGGATACCAGTTCGAGCGTCATGTTCTGTGGATTCAATATAAAAAAAATATGAAAAATACCCGCAATACTAGCAGCGAAAAATTAAATAAAAAATTTACGTTTTTGGTTGCTGGAATCTAAAAATAAGCGATAACAAGCAGTGTGACTGTTTTGATATTTTATTAAAAAACCAAAGTTTAAAAATATAATATGGGGAAAGATTTTTTTGAACTTTTTAAAAATATAAAAAAATATCAATACAATTAACAATAAATAAATAAAATTTGTTTTTCTAATCTTATACTTTAAAAAACTTTGAATACCAAGAACCACTTTTAAAAATTCCCGCACTCCTTTGTTTAATACTAAAAATACTAGAGTTTGTTATCGTAATCGATTATTATATTTCCCACCTCTAGCAGTCGGCCCTCGAAATATTTTGTTTATTTGTAAATAATCGCGGAAATAAACTTAATATAAGACCCAAAATGTCGGAACAACCTGCCAGCACCTCGGCCTTCGGATTTAAGAAGCGAAACATTAACAAAGGAGCTGCCATGCGCAGGAAAAAGCAAAGTAGTAGCAGCAATGACTCTGGTATGTGACAGTTTGCCGCCAAAAGAAAGTAAACTAATATTACTGGTGTTTTTCAGCAAAAAGCAGCGATGAGGACGCAAATAGCAAAACCAGTGCATTGGTCCGAGCCGAAAATCGAAGAAAGCGCACAAATCCGAACTATCAGAGCACCAAGACTTCGAGCAAAAGAAAGGCGGGAGTCGCCGATGCTGACTCCTCTTCCTCTGCCTCCGAGGACGACAAACTGGGCGTGGCGTACAAGTCTAAGCGAGAAGCCCTGCCAAGTGGACCACAGGATCAGGGAGCTACAGCCGTCAATGAAATGGACACTGAATTGGATCGCGATGCTCAGGCGATTCATGCTAGATCCATCAAAATCAATGAGGAACTGGGAGGCAAGGAGGACGATAAAATCTACCGCGGAATTAATAACTATGCGCAATACTACAAAAAGCAGGACACGGCAGCCGGTAACGCTAGTTCTGGAATGGTGCGCAGTGGTCCAATAAGAGCACCGGCACATCTCAGAGCAACCGTGCGGTGGGATTACCAGCCGGATATCTGCAAGGACTACAAGGAGACTGGATACTGCGGTTTCGGTGACAGCTGCAAGTTCTTGCACGATCGCAGTGACTACAAGGCTGGCTGGCAACTGGAAATGGATCATGAAAACCAGCGGCGTGGCGATTGTGATTCGGACGGCGACGATGGAAAATATGAGATTCACTCAGATGAGGAGTCACTGCCCTTTAAGTGCCACATCTGCCGGCAGAGTTTCGTCAATCCTGTGGTAACTAAGTGAGTGATCTCGACCTAAAACTTAAAAAAAGCTTACAACTAATTTAATTTGAATAAATCTTGTTTTGCAGATGCAAGCACTATTTCTGTGAAAAGTGTGCCTTGGCCCAATACAAAAAGTCCCAACGCTGTATAATTTGCTCGCAGCAAACGAATGGCATTTTCAATCCCGCCAAGGAACTGATAGCGCGTCTCAAGGCTAATCCTATCGAAAATTCAGATAGTGATGCAGACATTGATGCCGAAGATGAGAAGCCAGATGAGGAAAAACCTCAAGAGATTTCTTCTGAAGAAAGTGATTAAATATATGCATTTTTCCAACAGTTACTACCTATAAATAATACTTCAAAAGTTGTGTTTTTTAGCTATTTTTATAATAAAATTTATAATTTTACATTTTCTTAAATTGAGATGTAGGTAAAGCTTATGTAAAGTACCGATAGATGGCGCTGCTTGATCATGTAAAGGGGAATGTCAACTAATGTTTTTTGAACAAGAAGTGACTTTTATTTGAAATGCCTACTCACCTCGGTCATAATGTAGCCAAAACTGAGTACGCCAATGCTTTTGGGTCGGAATGAATGCCTTGTTATTGAATATATAAAAGAGCTTCTACCACTGACACTTGGCAGGCGCATCGGATTCCTTCCCATGCCAAACGGACATTTGTGAAATTTAACTAGCGCTTAGGCGTCTATCTATGAGGGTGGAATTAATTTAGGATTTTGACAGGGTTCCGGGTGACATTTAAAACTATGGATGCCTTTAACAATCTACAACTCAGTTCGAGCGAAAAACAATCAAAGGAGCACAAATTGAAGTTCGGCAAGCAACTGAAACTATCGTCTCCTTGGACTTCTAAAGTGAAAGAGCGGCGAAAGTCGGGCGCAATATTATATCCATAATTCAATTGCCAGAACTTTCATTTCCGGTCTCGTGCGCATCAGCACACACAGGCATAGAAACACAGAAGAAACAGAGAAAAGCGGAAGGGGAACAGGAGCAGAGAAAGAGAGTGTGGCAAAAAGACTTTCCGTGGAGGAATGGGAATTCGTTCGACTTTGGCACGCTAAAATCAAAAATCCCCTGCCAGGCCAAACTTCTATGCCGCATTGTTCCACAGCACAAAGCCAAAATATTGGCCAATTGTAACGAATCGAAGCTAAGCCACAAATTCCATCCTCCTTTCCCAGAACTTTGGTTCCCTTTTCCAAAACCTAGGCATGCAAAATATGAGCCTGAGCACATAAGCTTCTAAAAACAAAGCATCTAGCTGGCCAGGCTGAGCCGAAAAGTTGAAGCTTTGCATCCTCGAGGCGGACCAGAAAGCGCCCGGAGTAGCCTGCAAATGTTGGACGGATTGTGGCCCAGAGATTGTGAGATATTAGCATTTTTTTGGAGGTCGTAGATTCTTTGTAGTATTTGGTTCGTTCATAAGATCCTGCAGAAAACTAAAAGCAAAATATATTTCCTATTAACCTTTATGCTTAATAAGGATAAAATAACTAGAGTCACGTTTAAGTATTTCCACGTTTTATGGGCCACTCACTTATTGGCAGTGCAATAGCTAATTGAATGACAAACTCGTGCATGATGTACGCAACTTAATTGAGGAGGCTGAAATAATTGATTCGCCTAAAGCAGAGTGGCCAAAGCCGAAGGCGCGTCTATGAAACGGGCGCCGAATCAGTTTTAATTATTTCCATAAACGCGAAAATGAGAGGCATACGTGAGTCGTGGAATTTTATAGTTTCAGTCAGTCAGTGGCTTTGATTGCCAGAGCGCAATAACATGGCCCGAAGATGGCTGGTTGGGTGTGGGCAAAATTTCGGAGTGGGTGAAACATTTTTCCGCCTAATTAGAAAGTCGATTTTTAAAGCCTAATTAGAAAGTTGTTTGTGGCTGCGTATACTATTGCCTTTTGCCGCCAATGTAATTAAGCGTTAAATGTGTATGATGCCCTCAGAAGTCGAGGTGCTTAAGGAAATCCTTTTTTACAACTAAGGTGCTTTTATTTAATGTGCACTCTTCAAAGTATACCACGTACTTAGCATAATTAAATGATTGCAGAATAGTTACTCCTTTCTAATGAAATTAAATTAGTTATTAAAATTCTGTTTCAAACAGGTCTTATTTATTTTATTTTTTTCTACCTGGAGTTTCTTTATAGAAGTCTGAATCCCATCTGTTTGCACGGTTTTCTGTCCTTTGCGCTGTTTGTTTTTATTCGCTTTTATTTATTGGCTTCTAATGTCATTGACTATTATCCCAGGCACCGGGGTCCCCAGTCCCTGGCCGGGCTCCAGCTCAACTTGTCGCTTATTGTGTCAATTATCATTAATTTCTAAATGCTCTCCTGTCCGCACCAAGGTTGTAGCACCTTTTTGAATGGAAGAAACACCTCCTGCCCTTCAGACCTGTGGGCCAACTTCCAGTACGTGTCCCGGCCATGTTGAAATGTCACCCTCGGCCATATAAATTGTTATTGCCTGTGCGTCCTATCACTAGTAGGATGTGGACAATGTCCCGACATTCTTAAAGTTTTCGAAACTTGCCAACTCTGTTTATGCCCTGACCTCTGATAATTTATTATCCATTGAATATTAAGTTTCACCCCATGACCGAGAGTTATGGTGGAATCTATTCGAATAACGATGCGAAGGACGAACTTTATGCTGGAAATCGAACAATTAATCGGCCCTTTAGAGTTGTGCAATTATTGTGTAAATGAACCCCCAACTGCTTGTCGTAAATAATAGCCAGCTACAACAGCCAAAATCTGCCACCGCAAAAACACCAAGCTCATTAATCTTTCACTTAATAGTCCCGAATAATTATACACAACAATTGCAATGTCGCTGCAAAGCCCCAGCCGAATAATTAAAACCCAATTTAAAAAGATAACAATTTATGAAAATCCACAATTGAAAAGATTCTCCGGCTTCTAAGCGGAAACACAAAGCCCACGAATAATGTGTGTTGAGCATCAAAAGTTATGGCCCACAAATTTGTGTCTCTGATAAAAGTTGGTGGCCCCCGCTGACTTGGACCACAGCTTTAATTTATAACAAACATTTTGTTAGGAGGAAGTCCAAAATGCAAAGAATCTTTGACACTTGCACTGGGTTGGCCGGGGTCCAAGGGATTCCTATCAGTGATGATCAGATTTATTGCAACCAAGATGATAGAAATGGGTATGATTAAAAAGAATGAAGCATTGGGAAAGTCTGTATTTTTTACAATAATAATGATTTTAGTTTTGAATTCTAATTATTTTTCCAAGAAGACCAACCCTTTGATAAACTATGTCGGCTGCACTGATACAAATCCAGGCTAAAAAGAAAGTTTTCTTCGAAAACAAAAACCACTCGACATGTCCGGCCACAAGAACGCTTGTCACTGGTTAGCCGCAACGCAAATAAAGATAAAATGCAAAGTGGGCAAAAACTGGCCAAATGCACCAACAGTTCCATCCACCCAAGGATGCCTTGTGATAACCACAATAGCAGCTACAACATGCAAACAAATCGCTGCTACTTTTACGCCATTTTCGAATTGATGTTAGTCGATTTCTTCCCGGGTCTCTCCCATCTGGTTTACGACTTTCCGAAGGTTGCCTGCCTGCCCTGCCTGCTCTTGGCCAAAAACTTTTCCCTGCACTTTATGATTTTTGCGCAAACTTTCGTCAGCTCGGCTTTCTGTTTTTGTTTGTCGCCAATTTCTTAGCCTCTGGTTTATGGATGACGGCAACCCAGATGCCTCATGTCTTTCGATGCCGGCGTATTGATGTTTATTATACTCATAAGGTATAAAAATATTCAAAAAAGTAAAAATGAACAAAACAAAAATAATAATAAGGTAACAAAAGTTGGTGTCATTTGGCCTGACATTTCTTTCAATTGCGTGAAAAGTTGCTGTATGCGCCAGAAACGAGAGTAAAATCAATATTTGGTTTATTGATATATTAAACTTGATCCTTATTGAATGTAAAAATAAATTGCAGTTTTTGTGGCTCAAAAGTGTGATGTGATTCAAAGATGGAGGATATAAAACTGAAAGGAAATTAAAGAAAATATTTTATATACATTAAGCTTAAAATGATTATACTGGACGGAAGAAATCTTTTGTGAAAGCTTAGCCCAATTCACTTTAGCTAATTCAGTGAATATCTTTTTAGTTCACCAACAATTACACATCCGACGCTGCAGGCAATTGTCCTAAAAGCCAGATCTTTTAAAATCTAGGTTGAAATGTAATGTTTGCACCTTGCCCGTGAATGTCCGACACGAATGTCGTGTGCCAGGCCATTCTCGTGTGAAATCGGACCACTCAACGTATCCTGTGCACAGTTACAACTTCCGGCCAAACACACAAATGAGCTACAAAATACATTTCCACCCACCCCGACATAAGAACAGCAACAGAACAACAGCAACCTGCCGGCAATAAGCTGAGACTAAAGCAACAATGGAATGCTTGACTTGTCTTCATGTCCTTTCCATTAGGTTTTTGTTTTTGTTACTGCTGGTGTTGACCAGCCTAGGCAAATGAGGCCATTTTCTGGTATAAGCCTGCAAAAAAATGGGGAAATAGTGGGGGCGGAGGAAGGAAAGCCATTGTCCAGGGTAAAAAGTTTCAATAAGGAAATATGGGCAAATAAAATAAATGAAAAGTGTCTAAAAAATTTCACTTTAATAAGCTAAGGAATGGCCGAAGCTAAAGAACAAAAAGCACAAAGTTTTTAACCACATGTGTGTGTGTTAGTGTGTGTGTGTCAAGGGTTTTTGGTGTTGACAGTTTTGTGAGAGTTTGAACAACAAGTTGCCATTTGCCATTTGCCGCTTGCCGTTTTCCAGTTCTTTCCTTTGGCCAGGACTTAGCTGAAAATATTTTCATTATAAACTTTACGACAGGTTTTTCCTGTGTGTGGGTGAACGGAAACGGAAATGCGCCATTAACTGGCAAGTCAAGCTTATTAGCTGCAATAAAAAATAATAAGCTGCAAAGTTATGTTGCAATTGTGGCATATTTTTTTTATTTTCCACCAGGAGACAGTCTATGCTATACCTTTCCCGCACACATATAGAAACTTATACTTATGCTTGGGGTTTCTTGTGTTGAAAATTCTCTGCTACTTACTGACTTGGCTTTTTCACTATTCTTTCTTCGGCTCATAGAACTTTTCTCCTTATTGTCCTGATGACAGTAGGTGCGGGTGTCAGTTCATGGGTGTGTGTGAGTGTGTGGGTGGTTGGTATGACAAGCAAGGACAACATGCCGAAGGCGACATCCTTTCTTTCAGTTGCCATCGCCATTGCCAGTGCAGCGAGCTTATTCTAGTTAATTTTATTTTAAAAATCGTGCTACAATATGTTCTCAGTCTTTGTGGAGAGTGACCGAGGCTTCCTTATTTGATAGTTGACTTCGAGTTGCCCTCGGCTGGCGGCAATGAGGGCGATTATGAGAATGGGAATGTCACGGAGAAGGAGGCGGAGGCGTGCTGCAGGCGAGAATATGTGAACAGGACCCTGAGAACTTGACAAATTGACAATGTGCCATCCTTTGATAGCGGCAACTTAGCAGGTCCTGGCTGCCGGACACTGATAGTTGAGTGTAAGTAAATTGAAAAGACCCTAGAGATGAATTATAATTGTTGAAGTCCTCAGAAAGAACTCTTTTCTAAATGAAAGA